ATATATATATATATATATATATATATATATATATATATATATATATATTATAAATATAAAGATATATATATTAAATATAAAAATAATATTATATAGGGTGTTCCTGGATTAAACGGCAAAACTTTAAATAGGAATTTAGGACCTCAAAACAAACAACAATTTCCTCTGGAAGTTTGCTCGCAAACACTTCAAACGTTCAAGAAATATCGACATCTTAAATTACAGAACTATACAATGAATAATGTTAAAATAGTTCTTATTTTGAAGGTCATTGATAGGCTTTCGTTTGCACTGTAAACAAAGCTCTTTTCTTTGGTACCTAATAATTGTCAGTTCGCTAAATGCTTTTGTGGGATAAACTAATAATCTCATACTATAATCATGTCTTGTACGTATTCTAATAGTGATTATGTCAATATAGTATATTTATATATATTTTGTGATGGAAATGCTAACGCTGTCGTGAATACGCCGCGCAATTTTCGAACAGAAGATTGCCGAATAAATCAGCATTCTCTTTAACATTTCAACGACTAAAGGAAACTGGGTTATTTAACCCTTATAGAAATATCATATTAAGAATCATTGATAATTACTTATTTTCAGTATTAAAAATACTGGATAATAAGTAATTATCAATGATTCTTAGTATGATATTTCTATAAGGGCAGTGAAAAGAATTCTTTTTGCACCTAAAAATAAACTCACAATTGCTGACCTACGACTGAATTCTTTTTCAATTCTCGCTGTTATCTGGGTATTTATTGTAAATAATCTCTTAAAGATGCCTTACATATACAAATTAAACACGTCTTATGACTTGATTTTAACATTTGTTCTATCTGGGCGCATAATAGTCGTATATAACATATTCGTTAATATACATTAATATACATATTCGTTAATATACATAAAATAAACGTTTTACATAAGTGTAATAGATGTCTGTTAATCGTAAAAAATATATTATCTTACATACATTCATTAAACATATTATATATGTACATTAATTGTAAATAACACAAGCTATATATATATATATATATATATATATATATATATATATTTTTTTTTTATATACGTATGCCATATATCTATTCCCTTATAGAAATATCATACTAAGAATCATTGATAATTACTTATTATCCAGTATTTTTAATACTGAAAATAAGTAATTATCAATGATTCTTA